ATATATATATATATGAACCGTAAGACCCTTCACTCTGATGAAACCTTCTTGGTGCATTTGACAGGTTTCTACCTGCAAAACTTCCATGCACTGTTGTCCATGCCAAGTAAAGTCTACCTAAGCTAGGCCTCTACATTCAAGAGAGGAGTCCTCCTGGGAAGCCATCTTACCCACCATTCCCACAGCCCTCCTCTGGCCCCAGCTGCCAGCATCTCTGGGTTGGAAAACAGCCACAGCCTGTCCTTCCTGCTCCACTCTGCTGTATACCAACCAGGGGCTGCTTTTTCCAAAACAGTAGTTTTATTGCCTCTCCCTTGATTAAATTTCCCCCAAGAACCATTATAGCCTGTTTCCTTGGGCCTGTGGTCATTAAAGTTTGCTAGCAAGCAACAGACACCAACTCTGGCATAAGCAACTCACAGTCCGTAGGATGGAAGGAAAAGCTAAAGTCTGGAGAAGGTTAGGAATCTAGACTGTCCTGGGGATCTGGGAAGCAGGAACTAATGAATAGCCTTTGCAGAGCGCAGCTGCAGAGATGAATCAGTCAGGAATCTCAGTCTACATGGAATCCCACTCAGGCATCAATTATCAGGGTCCAGGTGTGTGATTGCCCAGGATTGGCCCTATCTCTAGTTCAGAATATGCTCTTGATGAACCATTGAGGCTGAAATTAACAAGAGAGATAAGGAAATTGGCAAAGCAAGGGGTATTAGGTACAGGGAAATAGATACTTGGCAAACAAGGACAAGACAGCCACTCCATGGCTACTTCCAAGATCCAAAGGACCTTCTACATCAAAGCAACTGGGGCAGCATCCACAAGGCCAGGAAAGAATGGTTGAAGCATCCTTTTACCAACTAAGGAGAAACAAAAGATTTTCTCATACTATAAGATAGTAGGCCCAGCCCCAAAGATCATCAGCTTAAATCCCAATTCCCCCTGTTGTTTCTTGCCCATAGCTTTTCCTGAGGGATGCTCTGTCCCAAGTGTTACACGAAGTCCTTTTCCTAAGTTCATACCTTACCCCTCTGACCTTGCTTCTCTCTTTGCTACACACAACGGCCTCTGTGACTGGGGAAAGGATCTCAGGCTTGAAGTGGAGGAAAAGGAGGCTGACTGCCAGATCCCACTGCCCCATTCTGGTATCAAGAGTGAAGTTGGGGCTGACCAAGCAAACTGAGTGAAAACAAAAGTCATGCTCACCAGCATTTATCCTGTTTCATTGTTTTTTATTTACTGTCCAGTGGGGACTGGAATGTGTGTTCCATACTGGTAGAAGCTTTTATCTATACTGATCACTCACTACTGCATTCCCAAGCCCATCGAGGTAACTGGCACACAGTAAGCACTTAGGAAAGTAAACTCATGTGACTGACTGAGCAGCTGGCATGTAAGGTGGAGGCTATACCCCACCTTGTCTTTGATCCTGAGCCAGAGAGGCAAAATCAGGCCCAGCACAAAGTCTAAGTGAGAGAGAAAAAGAGAGACAGAGAGACAGAGAGACAGAGACCCAGAGACCTAGAGAGAATGAGAGAGAGAGGGAGAGAGAGAACAAACTCTGGGTTCCACCCCTAGCTCTGGCACCTATGGGGAAGATAAGTCACCTGACACTATGAGACCCAGTTTCCTCAGTTTTAAAATGGGGATCACACCATTTCATACTGTTTGTGTGTAAATTAAATGAGAATTGAGTGTGTAGAGTTGGTGTACCATAGCACTTTCCTCCACAGGTGCCCCTTGTCCCTGTTGTCTGCTCTGTAAGGAAGGGACTTGTTTTAACCAGCTGGTGAGACCTGAATGCTGTATCTGCAGAGATGGAGAATTGGGTATTTTAGAAAAGCACCCAGGAAAAGGCAGTGCCTATGCACAAGAAGAAATGAAGCATCAGCAGTGAAACATGTACACAAGGATGGGCCATAGGGATCCCTGCAGAAAGCCTCATGCTGAGTTCTAGCATGCCTAACTTGTTGCTGGGAGAAAGACCACTTCAGTGTTGTCTTGGCATTCAGGGATGGAACCAAAAGACATTCATAGCGAGCAACTTTGAAAAGAGAATTTTATTAGCTTCATGACAGCTGCCACAAGTCAAGATGTGGATGGGACAGAGCTCTGGCAGCTTCCAACCAACGGTATGGAAAAGCCCTTCTGTTCTCTCTGTATCCTTGGACCAGGATCTAAGTGGGGGTCCCAAGAAAAACACCCCACTTGCTTGACCCTTGGGGCAGGAACAAATTCAGGCAATGCATTCTTGTTGGTAATTAGGATCTTTTGCCCCATAGCTACTTCCTCAGACAGGAAAAGGAATTGAATTGACATTCTAGACACAGCTCAGGACTGATCCGGCCTACCAGCCTCTGTTCTGGGTCATCAACCATGAACACAACATTCCAAACCACCAATCAGGCAGTCAATGTTCTGGAGGGCCACCCAGATTCTAGAATACAAAATAAGAACCCCTTAACTTTTTAGGAGTATGCTAGGAACTCTATATTCTAGAATGTCTACATGTCAAAGCAGAACTCTGACATTATAGTTTGTTAACCAAGAACCCAGTGTTCTGGAAAATCCAGTGAGAACCAACCACTCCTAATGTTCTGAAGGGTTAACATAGAATTCAGCATTCTAGACTGACCAAAAAACCCCCACAATATCCCAGATCAGAGGTGAGACCCAAAGTTCTAAAAGTCAGCCCCCACACTTGCAATGCCAAACCAGAAAACCGACACTTTAGACCATCAACCCTGGCCTCAGCATTCTGGAATCTCCAGCACAAAGCTCTGCTCTCCAGAATGCCACTTCACTGCCCCCCTCAGAGTTCTGTGGATGGTCGCTCCACAGCGGACCCATCATCCTGACTGGAGCTGGGCACGCGGAAGGAAACATAAGGACAGGTCTTGGTGTTGAGGCAGACCAGCTTCTTCAGTGTGGCCGTGTTGACAATATTGAAGCCCATCTCACCACCAAATGTGCTTGGCTTCCAGTACTCTGGAGAACAGATGGGATTCCCCAGGAGACCCTTGAGGGAAAAGGGAGCCCCAAACTCGATCATACTCTCCCCAAAGATGGCGTTTGGTAGGCATTTTTCAAGAAGCAACCCTGGGTAGAACTCTAAGGCATCAATGTCTCCATATAACTCCTCCAACTCAGCTGCCATCTCCTTGTCCCCTACAAAGAGAGAAGCCAGAGTCAGAGCCATATTATCATGAAGGTAAATCTGGGGAGGGAATCTTCTACTCTTGCCTTTTTTCTGGTGATAATAGAGTCTCTAGAAGAATAATTTGGGCAACTGAGCAAATGTCTTAAATTTGGCCTCACTGGTGCTGCAGAAATGGTTGGGAAGGAGAGCACAAGCTGGCCCTTGTCCTGGTCTGAGTCTAGGGAAGAAAGATTCCAAGGGCCTAAAACTCCCACCAAACAGCTCATCCCATGTCTCTGAGCACGAAATATCTGGTCATTACAAGAATGTTGCCTAGCTTGCTTCCTTCACAGGAGAATTTCAGGGTCTTCTCTGGGTCCAAGCCCCTTTATTATGTTAAGGATCAATATAATGATACAATATAATGGGTCCAAGTTCAGACAAACATCAGTGCCAGTCTTCTTTCTCCCCTGCTGGATCATTTGTCATGGGGATTAAGTAGTGACAGATTACTGTTCCAGGTACTGTTCACGGGGAATGTACCGCTGACCCCAGGCTCTCCTCTGGTCTAGGAGACCCACAAGGTTGCAGACAGTGACCAAAGAGAGACAGACATGGAGCTTCCGTTTCATCAACCCACTCTCCCTAGAACACTGTAGAGGTGTCACGTCACACCTGCTTCAGCAGCTCCTGATTATCTGTGACAAGTGTTTCCAACCTGGGTGTCCAACAGCTGGGGATCTGGGTGTGTGTGTGTGTGTGTGTGTGTGCAGATTCTTGAGTACCACATGGGCCTACTGAACCAGAATCTCTGGGAGAGGCATTTGAGACTTGGGAGATTTTTCTGTATATCATTTTTTGGTATTTTTCTTTTGTTTTGATCCAGGGGATTGATACTAGGGCCCTGTGCATGCTAAACACACTCTATACATTCAGCTACTTCCCCAGCTAGATCTGATATTTTAATTAGCTGTCAAATTATGCAGCTGGTCCATAAGAGAATATTTTAAAACTACTATGCAGGCTAAAACTCAAAATCATTAACATAGAACCCAAGATTCCACAGTTTGGTGCCAACCCTCCCTCTCTAGCCAGAACCACCCCCAAACATAAACCCCTTGCTCCAACCACATCTGTGACTGTTCTTCCAAATGGACACCTACTTTCTAACCTCTATGCCTTTCTACTTCCTTTTGCTCCTTCTAGTCTCCAGCTGGAACATTCCTACTTATTCCTCAAACCTAGCTGAAAAGTTCCTTTTCTCCCTGATAGGGATATCTGCCACACTCACTACTTCTTATAATCCACACAGTCACAGTGCCGGCCACATGTATTATCCCATCCTGTTTGCTTCACGTCTCTCTCACTTTCCTGCAAGTCCTTCGAGGACAGGGACTATGTCCAGGAAGCAGCTGCTCACCTGTGAGCTCCTGGAAAGAGGTGTAGGGCTTCATGCCAAATCTCTTGCGGTACTCATTGAATGGCTGCAGTCGCATCTCTCGAGCCTCCTTGATGACCTCCACAGCCACGTGCAGAACATGGTGGTCTATGTTCCTTCCCCCACCAATCTGCCAGGAGATAAGCACAGCTGTTGACCTGAGAGCCAGGACACATCATGGAGGAGACTGTGAGGGCCTGTAAACAGTGTCGAGTCAGGAGTCTTTCTACCTGTACAGAAAGAATGGTGCAGCCCAGAAGCCACAATGCGGGTGGTCTGGCCCTAGGCCTCACCAAATCATGCTCTCTCCAGGAGCCCCTGAGAGTCTCAGCTTCCCCATTGCTGAAGTATGTAGTGGCCCAGGAGAATCTACGTAGTGACTCAAAAACTACACTGCTCCCCCATCCTTCGAGTCACACCAGCAGGTGGTGTAAGCCCTTGTGAAGGGAGGAAAAATAAGAATCAAAGCCCAGGTAACCTGGTAAGATAAAGAGAGTCCAAGAAAACACTTCTGATTCATTCCAGTGAAGGAGCATTGGTCTAAAGAAAGCTCTGTTCCTCAGGCAGTGTTAATAGTTCAATGGAAGTATAATGGGCTGGACGAAGAAAAGCATAGTTAAATAAAATCATACAACTTGGAGCAAAGCACAGTTGAAACAAAACAAGCAGAGTCTGACACCCACCCCTGCTAGAGCATTTACAGCTGTGGTGCAGCTGTTTGTAGAACTGTGTCCCCCTCTGAGGTCCTAACCTGCAGCACCTGTGAATATGACCTTATTTGGAAACACTGCAGTGTCCCCCTTATGGGTGGTTTTGCCTCCACAGTTTCTGCTACCCACCGTCAACTGTCCTCCAAAAGCACTAAATGGAAAATTCCAGAAATAAACAATTCATGAGTTTTACACTTCGTGATGTTCTGAGTAGCATGATGAAATCTAGCACAGCTGTACTCATTCCTTCCGAGGGTATGAATCATCTCTTTGTCCAGCATATCTGTACCATACATGCTACCTGCTTGTCAGCCACTTATGGTGCCAGCTGACCTGGCTATCAGATCGACTGTCATGATATCACAGCCCTCATGTCCAGCTAACCTTCATGCAGTAAACTAACCCTATATCATATGCCTGTGTCCTGCATCTCCCTTAGTCCCACGACATAAGCACTGGATCACCTCACATCATCCCAAGGATAAGCACAGTGAAATAAAAGAGAGACAGACAGCTCAGGGTGAGGGATGGGGTCACATCAACATACTTTGTAATAGAATACTGCAGAATGTTGCTATAAATATCCAATTTTATTAGTTGTTACTACAAATCTCTGACTGTGACTAATTTATAAATTTGACACTTATTATAGGTATGTGTGTATAGGAGAAAAATAGCATATGCAGGATTCACTACTCTCTGCAGTTTCAGCCATCCACTTGTAGGTCTTGGATATATGCCCATGGATACAGGTGACGACGACAGAGTCTTCACAGATGGAACTGGGTTAAGATGAGGTCATACTTGAGTAGGGTGGGCCCTAATCCGGTCATGGTGTCCTTCTCAGAGAAGAACAGAGACACAGGGAAAACACCTTGTGACAATGGGGACAGAGACTGGAGTCTACAAGCCACAGAACACCAAGGACTGTCAGCAACCACAGAAACTAAAAGAAAGGCATGGAACAGATTCTTCCCTAGAGCATGGCCCTAGAGCATGGACCTCCAGCCTCCAGAACTGTGGAAGAATAAATTTCTACTTTTTGTTTTGTTTTGGTTTGGTTTGGTTTGGTTTGGTTTTAGGTTTTCAGAGTTGAGGATTGAACCCAGGGCCTTTGAACTAAGCTACATCCCGAGCCACTTTTAATGTTTTGTTTTGTTTTTGAGATTAGGTCTCACTAAGTTGCCCAGGCTGGGATAGAATATGTGGTCCTCCTGCCTCAGTCTCCCGAGTGTTGGGGTTATAGATGGGCGCCACCACTCTCAGCTGAAATTGATGTTTGTTTTAACCCAGTGAGTTTGAGGTACTTCGTTATGGCAACCCAAGAAAACAATTACAGGGACATTGGGCAGTTAGTTGAGCTAAGTTTGAGTTTCCCCATATGTAAAAATGGGGAAAGTAAGACCATCCACCTGATATGGTTCTAGTAAAATAAACGAGATAAAGGATGCAAAGCAGTTATCACAGCGTTGGTCACAGGATCACCCCCATGCATGATGATTATCATGGAGAGTCCTGTTTTATCACTTCTCACGCTCTTTTTAATATCCTGAGAGTCAACACACTTCCGCTATCCTTCTGCCTTGTGCCATGTTCAATGCTGGGCCCTTTCTACATTCATCCTGGCCATTTCTTTAAAATGTTCTGGAAATCACAGAGCCACATACAAAGGCTATTGTCTCTGCTCAGATCTGTGCCTCTTGGGGAGCAGAGGCCAAAAGCCCCCAGCTGCATGGGTGGCACGTCTGCTAACTCTAGTCAAATTACCAGATGGAGACCTAGGGACAAGAGCATAGGGACAAGGATTGAAGGGAGGCAGAGGGCTGACGATGAGAATGAGAGATTCAGAGAGCTAAGACCAAGAAGATGGAAGCCTCCAAATGTGGAGAAGGAGAGATTTAAGAGGGAGTTGGTTAGAATCCCAGGAAAAGAGGATGTTTTCATTTTCCAGGGTTGCTACAACCAAGTCCTACAGTCTTAGTGGCTTAAATACAGAGAATTAAGTCTTCCGTGTTGGAGATGTCAGTGGGGTTGGCTTCTGAGGCCTTTCTCTCTGGCTTGTCATCTCCCTGTGACTTCACACGGTCTTCCTTCTGTATGTGTCTGTGTCTTAATCTCCTCTTCTTATGAAGGCAATAGTCATGTTGGATTAGGGCCCTAATTTTCCCATTTAACCTTCATTGCCTCTTTTATAACATTTTTTCCAATTGCAGTCATATTATGAGGTTCTGGGGATTCGGATTTCAGCATATGAATTTTGCCATTTTGCACAACTCAGCCCATTTACAGAGACTCTGATTTAATAAGCAATTACTATATACAGGATTGTTCACATATATTACCTGAGTCCCCTCCTGTTCCTCAAATTACTGTGCCTCCTGCTGTCCTCTGTATCTGGACCACAATCATCCTCTGCCCAGGAAATCCCTGTGCACCCTTCCAATTTCTGCTCAGTTTCTGTCATTTCCTTTCCTGCAATCCTGACCTCTGGGCCAAAAGCCCCTCTGAGTTCCAGAGCATTCTGGCCTTTCTGTATTGTGGCTTTTAACATGTTCTTAAAATTCTCCTCCCTCTCTAGGTGCACTCAGCAGAGGGACAAGGACCCAAGAAAAACTTTAGCCTTGTTCATCACTATATCCCCAACACCTGAAGAAATGGCTGAGATTTTCCAATGAACAAGAGAATTCACAAGGAATGCTTGCAACTGCCCCCACTTGACAGAAGAGGAAATGGATTTGGACCAGGTCTGCTGGATCCCGGAGCCCACACACCCTCACCCTTACTCCTCCGAGGCTCACCCGACCAGCGCTCTGGCGAGAAAAGGCATCCACCAGGGCCTCGACTCCGTAGTCCACTAGCATGGAGGTGTTGAATAAGAACTGCTCATAGCTGTACTTCTGGGAGCCCACTTTGAAGGAGTCAGGCATGAGTGGATGCCAGTGATAGAGGTGGTTGAACTCCACGGCAATGCGGTTGTGGTACTGGAACTGGGCACGGAACAGCAGCTCAGGGTCAAACTTGAGCTGCAGGAAGTAGCCACTCAGCTGCTGCACGTACTCCTCAATGACAATCTTGATGGTCTCTCCTGCACAGGGAAGGATAAGAAACAGGATCAGCAGAACACAGTGACTGATAATCGAGACACCCAACCTGGAAAGCAGGCTGGCCCATAAAAAGTGCTTCCTTTTTGTCTCCTTATTGCGGTTGTTGTTAATTTTATGTCACCACTTCCACTTTGTTTCTTTGTAACAGGATGTGAAAATGGAACTTTCTGACTCAGGTTTGGCTGGGGTCTCAAGACAAGAGCACTGCCGCTGCCCCATTCTAGAGGGAGCTTTAGAACCAGCTAAGCAGGACATGCAAAGGAAGGGTCTGAGAATCGGCTCTATGACCCTGGGAGAACACCCTCCACTGCCCATTAAAAGAATCTGGAGATTCCTGGAAAGATAGAAGAGTGGGAGACTGACAGCAAAGGCTGTCACCATGCTGGCATCCTCAGTGACACAGGGGGTTTCAGAGAGACCACACTCACAGCTGCTACAGCAGTCAAAGAGGGATCATGAGGACAGGTGTGCTTAACCCTAAACATATTTGAAAAAACATATTTCTTATATGCTCATATATCAGAATTCTGATGGATAGAATTCTCTGCCCCCTCAAGAACCGGCTACAACGCCAATAGCTGAGGAAGAAGCAAACTGAACATTCCATAACAAAATGAAAATTGGTCAGCAAGGTATTAAGAAACTGGCATTTTGGCCACTGGCTTTTAGTGAATTGACCTGGAGCCACGGAATTTGGAATCAGCTGACCCACATCCAAATCTCAGCTTCACCGTGGTAGCCACCTCACCTTAAGCCAGGTTACTTAATTTCTCTGAACCTCACTTTACTTATCTATGAGATGTGCACGGTATTGATGTCGGTGTAAGAATATGCATTGGGTGGTGTGAAGTGGACCATGAATGCATCTAAACTGGTGGCCCTGGGGCTGGGCATGCTAGGCAGTGTTGATATATGGACCGGAAGCAGGAGGATTAAGTACTAGCATGACACAAGAGCCCAGAGTAAGGCTTGCAACCCCTCTCTACTCAGAAAGAAGGTTGTGATCCCTCATAACAGGATGCTAGTAGCATAAACTTTGGTGGCAGTCAGACCTAATTCAAGTCTCCCTCGGCTGAGTGGCCTTAGAGAATTCCCTTAACCTCTCTGAATCTTAATTTTCACAAGTAGTCCCATTTGATTCCCAAGATTAGCCAGGAGTGGTGCTGCATGTCTCTAATCCCAGCACCCCGGGAAGCTAAGACAGAAAGATCAAACTCAGCCAATTTAGCAACTTAGCAAGACCTTGTCTCAAACTAAAAATTAAAAAATAAAGCCTGGGGATACAGCTTAATACAAAAGCCCCAGGTTCAATATTCAGTACCAAGAAGAAGAAAAAAAGTTGTTAGGAATCATTGGATGGGCCATACCCAAGGAGTCTTGCCTTCGGTCACCAGCCAGTGTGCTGGGCAGCCTCCAATTATACACTTTCCCTCCCTGGTCAAGCTCTCTACAATGCTTGGGACTTCAGAACCAGTCCCTTCACACCCTTCAAGCTATTCCTGTCCCTGATGCCTGGCTCTCCCAGCCTCCAGTGAACCAAGCACTATAATTGGGACCAGCCATGCCCAGTGGTGCCCAGAAGTAGGGAGAGGAAGTAGCTAGTGACTCAGAGAGAACATGGTCTGGATGGGGATGTTAGGGTCCAAGCTCCCAGGCAGGAAACCATCTGACATTTCAGGTTGCACACGCCCCCGTAGGGGACACAAAAATATCCTATCCCTGAGTCACCTAGAAGCTACGAAACTCCAGAAAGGCAAATACATGTGGAGCAGGAAACACGAAGGCTCCTGGACACTGGCCAAGCTGGGGTTTGACCCTGTGTGTACTGGGATTTCAAGTGTGCATTTGGGTGTGATGGGAGGGGAGACTGAGACCTGGGATGGCTGATCAGATGTGCTGTGAGTCACCCAGCTAGGAATCAACATCACAGTCCCTCCTTTTCTGCAGGTCTACTATGTGCTAGGTGACTTCCCGGGAATTCATTATCTCAGTAAATCCCTACAACCATCATTCTGCCCAAAGTACAGATTTACGGACATGGAGGGGCCCACTCGAGATCTCAAAGCTGGAAAGCACATGAAACAGGGCTGGTTCAGAGTTCTCACCTATGAGGATGAGGCGGGTAGTCTGGAAGAGCTGTTCGTCTTCCCAGGTGGGGTGCTCTGCCTTCAGCAGGTCGCACACACGGTTGTGCTCACGCAGCCAGAGTGTGGCATAGAGCATGAGCCCCGGCAGCAGCCCAAACACCTCTTGGCCCACGGCCATCTGGCTTTCAAGCGGGATGCCCCGTGGGTAGTGCATCAACACAGGTGCCTCTTCCACTGATGGCGGGTACACCTCCCCATCCAGCACCTGTGGAATGGGACGGCCTGGCAAGCTGGCCACTGGGTGCCTGCATCTGCCCCAGCTGACTCTCGCCTGCTCCTACCTCAGCAGCCTGTCCTTCTTGGCCATGCTCCTGGTTCTGCCTCCTGAATCTCCTCAAATCTGTCCCCACCCCTCCAAATCTCTGTTACCATCCCCTTATCCAACCGCACCCTCATCTTCCTCCTTTATTCCTGTCCCTAAGTGGGCTCCTGCATCTCCTCTTGCCCCAGACAGTCCATTCTCTACACTGGAGCTAGCACAATCTTTAAAAGACTCAAATCTAGTATCAGACACTGGCTTGAAATCCTTCCAACTTCTCTCTCTGCTCTTGGAAGAAATCAGAAATCCTTAACACAGCCTCCTACAGACATCTCTATGCTCATCTGGAATCGATCCTATCCTCAGTTGCTAGTCTCAGCAAACCATCCCATTCTTACATTCCCTCCACATCTCCCGAGCTGCTTCCTCCCTCCAAGCCTTTATACCTGCTACACCTCCTACCTGGAAAGCCTTCCCCTTTCTGGGCCTCCTTACCATCTCCTCATTTTTCATGTAGATTTCGTTTTCTGTAACTGCCTAGGGAAATCTTACCTAGTGGACACTGTAATGGTGCCCCAGCTTCTCCTTCGTGGCAGTCATCACAAGTGTCATTAGTTACATGGCAGTTGTATCTAGTCATTAAATATACACTGCCGCACTACTATATGCCAAGTAGTGTTCTTAGCCCTAAAGATTCTAGAGAGGACTTTGCTTTGGTTTTTGTTTTAGAGTTGCGTGATCCAATATGGTAGCATGTGACTATTGAATATCAGAAATCTGGCTAGTGTGAATGAACTGAATTTACTTTTACTGATATTTCAGCTGCTGGAAAACCTTTAAGTATGTTTGGAACACCTTAGGTACATGAATCTATTTATTCAACTATAAATTTTATGAAATCTACACATGGGTATCTCCAAAGAATATGTAGCATCCAAATTGAAATGTTCTGTGAATATAAATGTATATCTGATTTTGAAGATTTAGTGTGGAAAAAACGTGAGATCATTTATTAATAATTTTTGTATTGGGTCAGGGATTTAGCTCAGTGGTTCCACCGCCTGCCTCAAAAGCGCAAGGTCCCAAGTTCAATCCCCAGTACCAAAAAATAAAATAAAATAAAATAATTTTTGTATTGATTACATGTTGAAATGATAATATTCTGGATATACTGCATCAGGTAAAATATGTTATTAAAATCCATTACACTAATTTTTTTCTTTTTTTAATGTGGCTACTACAAAAATTTTATTACACATGTGGCTCACATTATACTTCTGTTGGACAGTGCTGATTTAGACAAGAAGTCCCTATGGAACTCACATCCTAGAATTTATGTTTGTGACTCCTGATAGGCTGTGGGTCATTGAGGGCAGGGTTCATAGCTATGATGGTCACTGCTTAATCCCTTGCTCAAGGCACATCAAGGTGCCCAATTCATATTGTGGAATAATTAAGTGAATAAATGCAGGCAGCAAATTTCCGTGTTCTATTGGGCTCTGAATCCCCCTCCCCAGAGGACACAGGAGGCCATGTCTACTCCTCATTTGGGTTTTTTGCCTCTCCTACTGGCACATATCCCAGCTCCCATGGCTGGCTCTCTCAGGACATGCTCCAGCCCCCTCCCAGCAGTCTTTGCCAGGGAGACCAGGGGACCCCTTCCCACAGCACACCCCCAAGCCCAGCACTACCTGATACTTGAGTTTCCCATCCTTAAAGAGCCGCAGGTGATACTGGCGTTCTAGATTATCTCCATAAATGTGGCCAAGGTCTACCTGAGGACAGAGAGGTCCACTCAGATTGCCCAGGTTCTGCCCAGCCAGTGATGATCTGAATGTGCCAAGTTAGGTCCTGAGTCCCTCCTCCCTCAGTACTTACCCCGTGGCCCAAGGCCTTGGTGAAGCCAGGACCCATCTTGCCAGAAGTCTTGAAGAACTGGTGGGTGAAGTGTTGTGCAAAGAAGGCAAACATGAGGTTTGTGCCCTGAGGATCAGGGATGAACTTCCTCCTGAGCAGGAAGTGATGGCCCAGGAGCTCTGCATCTGGCAGTTGCTTCTTCCCTGGTTGGGAAGGTAGGAAAACTCAGTAGATGCCTAGGTCCTGTCTGGACCTTCCTGCCCTGGGGACTTCTGGCCTCAGAAGGCAAATTGGCCCAGAAAGGAAGTCAAGATTGTCCTCTGGACCTCTACAGGTAGCCCCTGTACCCTCTCTACCAAAAGACCTAGAAGTACTTATGGGTGAAATGGCATAATATTTGGAATTTACTTTAAAATACATTTTTAAATGACAGGAGATAGTTGAAATAAGATTGGCAATTTGTGGGTAAATGTTAAAACTGGGAGATGGGTACATAGTTCATTATACTTTCCTCTCAATTTTTGTATATATTTGCAAATTTTGCATAATCAAATATTAACCAAAAACATTTTTTTTAAATCTTGGACTCCCTGGCCCTGAGGCAAGATAGGTTGTGTTTGCAACTGGTCGTGTTTTTTGCTACCTTTGAGAATATGGGCAAATCATTTCATCTCTGTGAGCCTCCATTTCTTCATGTTGTAAAATAAGGCAAATGGTGCTTATTTTATACAGTGGATTTGAAGATTATGTGAAATGATAAAAGCATGACAGAGAACTGGTGAGGTCCAATCTTTTCAACCAAGAGTCATCAAACTTTTTATTATAAAAAGCCAAGTAGGAAATGTTTTGGGCTTTGCAGACCATATGGTCCCTGTTGCATCTATTCAATTTGCTTTCATAGCAGAAAAGCAGCCATAGGAAATATGTAAACAAATAAAAGTGACTGTGTCATAATAAAACTTTATTTGCAAAAATAGGTGGGCTGGATTTGGCCTATAGGCAGTAGTTTACCAACATATTTTAAATGGTGCCAGTCTTTCTATTTCTAGGTTAAAGATAGTAAGTCATGATAGCTGTCTGTTATTATGAGAATAAGTACTGGAAATCCTTCCTTAATTGTGTCAAAATCAGATGAGTTGGCACCCAAGCCCTTAACAGAAAGGAACAACGAGATTTTTTTGTGGTCTGATAAAGGCATTCCTTCGCCATACCTCAGGAGAGGTCCAATGTTAAAGGTTCAAGATTAATGGAAACTTTCTGTTGAGATGGCCAACTGCATGTCTCTGGCAGGAGGCAATATCAAGCACCCTAAAAGGCACTCATAAAAAGAAAAATAGGAAGGAGCAGCGTACAGCTCACAATTTGGAATCCTCACTCATTGACATTAGGCAAGAATTGATTCCGCCAGTGTTGGTGAGACTCAGCTGTCCTAGTGGAATTGGTCATGCTCTAGGAATAGTAGCTGACCATCTCAGTGAAAACCATCAGAGTAGTGCCCTGGAGACCCAAGCGAGGAGAGCAATATATATGTGCAGGTTTCAAAACCTGCCAAAGGACAATCACAGGATTGCACAGGGCTGCTGTTCAATAGCGACACCATGTGTCAAGAAGAGCAGTGGTAGACTGATGAGCCTCTGGTCCTCTGCTGTCCTTGAAGCTGAACTGATGCCTCTGAGTACCCACCAGATCTCTGGACAACTAGAGGTGGAGTGGAAAGAAGGCCTCAGGAGGAAGACCTCTGCCAATGAGTCCAAGTAGGTCTTGGACAACTAAAGAAAACCTGATTTGTACCCTACCCTGGTGAAGCACAGACAACTGTTTACATTACTAAAGAACCAAACACAAAGTCAGCTCCCAATCCACACCACACTGTTCCTTCCATTCTACATTTCAACCTGGAAGTCATCTCCACCCCAGCAGAATCCCCCTCACTGGTAGAAAGGTTCAGGCAGAGGGATACCCTAAAAATATAAAAATATTAGTTTGTCTCTGTCCCTGACTTTCTGGATGATCTCAAGTGAGACCTTTTCTGCTCTTTCCTGTCCTTATCCCTGGTTCTGGTCATGTCAGCTGTCTGGCCTTGGTCCACCCATCTGTAAAACAGATCACTAAATGCTCTTCTACCTGCTTTTTCCCAAAAGGAGATCTGAGCACCTACTGTGATCCCCAGCTCCTCCCCTGACCCCCTTACCTTTAGTGCCCATGGGTTTGGGGCAGTCTTTGGGCACAGAGGGCAAAATTCGAGTATAATAGCTGACATTGGAAAAAGATTCCCAGCTGATGTAGTCATGCGCTAAATTGTAGGTGGGGGGGCTGGGGATGAGTCTGGACCGCACTGCAGAGAGCAAAGATAATGATGACAAGGATGTTCCCACCCCAGGAACACCCCCTTCCCCCTCCTGCCCCAGCTTGACGTGGGGCTTGTTTTATCTGGCATCTAAAAGACTCCTCATCCAATGCCTTTATTTGACCCAAAGAATCCCAAGAACTGGCAAGACTTCTTGTTCCCCAAATTAGAGGGGCCCTGACCCACACCCACCTGTGAGCACCAGGCGCATGAGCATGTCTCGGATGAAGGTGGCATTGACAAACTCCCAAAACAAACGTCCATGTGTGAGTAGGAAGTGAAAGAAAGCAGGGCTGGGCCGCAAGGAATTCCGGAGCCAGGTCCAGAGCTCAGCTGCAGGGGCAGTGGGAGCTGCTCAGTGGGGCCTCCCGGCAGGACCAGAAGTGGCCAGGGCAGAAGGTGGGACTAGGGATTCCGGGCAAGTAGGAGCAGGGAGGTACTTGGGGGTAGGGACAAGGATGCAGCCTTGGGAGTAGTGGCATAAGACAGAGCCAGACCAGAAATGAGGACAGAGGGCAGGGCGAGGGAAAGTGTAACTCCCCACAGAGCCCAGAACCAAGGAGTATGGGTGACCCAGGAGCGAGAGCTCCCATGGGACCCAGGTCAAGGGAAAGGGTCAGGGCCATGAGGGAGCAGGGAACCATGGCCAGAGACAAAGGCCAGAGTGGGATCTAGGAGGAGGGTCCTGGGGGGCATGAGGGCCCAGAGAGAAGCGGGGCTGGAATCCCGGCTCACGGACGGTGCAGTTGGGGCCGGAGTAGCCCGTGCGGGTACAGTCACACTGGTAGTGGTCACGGCCAAAGCGGACACAGACACCCTGGTTCTGACATGGAAAGTAGCAACAGGGGTTCGCTGTGGATGAGAAACAAGCATCAGAGACCATGTCAGGAGCCTCCTGACCCAGCCAGCCCTGAGGGGGAGAAGGGCCCAGAGGAGAGGATTCAATTGACAGCTCTGCTTAAATCACTAGGTGCCCCTCTCCGGACTTGAGTTCCCCCAAGGCCACCCTGTGCCCAGTCCCAAGCCATGAACATAAAGGCCCCAACTTGCTGTTTCTAGCCCCTGCTCTGGACCTCTGCCTAGCCCACACTGGGCCTCAGGGGAAGTCCCCCTTCCTTCCCTGCTGTCACCAAATGGGGACAAGGGAAAAGTCCAGACCCTGAGCTGTAACACTGAGGCTAGGAAGCAGCTGTTAAAATACTCCAGCCACAGGTTTCCTGCCTAGTCAGAGAACAGCAACAAGGGCAGGGTTTGCAGGGTTTGGACAAGGGACAAACACAGGGACGGGGTTTCTCCCAGACCAGTCCCCAAGTTCTGAGCACCTGGATATTGGGAAAAATGAGTTCTACCACCACCTCTCCATCTGCATGGGAGGGAGAGAAGAGCAGGTGTCAGAATGCCCACTTTGTGGGTGGGAAAACTGAGGCCAGAAAAAAGGGAAAGGCAGATAGGTCACCAGAAAATGGTCATTCCAGATCACTAGGCAGCCTTCACTTGCCCACCACCCCAACAGGCTCAACAATCAAGAGAAGATGTTCTCCAGAACCCTGGGCACAGAGTGAGGGCTGCAGAGAAGAGGGGAATTCCAAGGTCTCAGCTTCCTGAGAGACCCAGACTCAGCCTGAGTCAAGGTGAAAGGTAGGCTCCAGGATCCTGAGGAAGGTCATAAACGAAGGGAACAGGAGAGCCTGGGCTAGAAAATATCCTGAGACAGTAATTGGAGCCCTGCAGCCACCTTCCTGCCTCTTGGAGAAAGCACCCAAGGAAGTCCTTCCCTGCATCTCACCCAGATCCCGCTGACCAGCGCCCCTTGCTCAATCTGCACTACCTCAGTGATTCTTCACCAGCAAAGTTAGACCCTTTCGGCTATTCAGGCTCCCTTGAACCCCATGCCAGGAAGAATGCACCTCCCTGCTCAGCAAGGGAAATGGAGGCTCAGGGTGAGGTGTAGACTTGGCCAAGAACACAGATCAGAGCCAGGCAGACGCAGGACTCCTGGCTCCCAGGCGGAGCCCTCCACTCCAAATGCCAGAATCGCTTCTGCAAACATACTTCCTTCTCTGGGCTCAGGGCCAGCTCTTTGTGTAACTGATGATTGGGGGGGGGGGGGTCAAGAAGGTAGTGAAAGGCGGGAGCACCCTGGGGTGAAGTGTTCGGGGTCATGTCCACGTACTGGGTCAGAGGCCACGGCACTGGGGAAGACCCGGTCCCTCTAGTCTCAGTATCCCCACTCGACAGCAGGTGTCCACCTGCTCCCCACAAGAGAGGCCTCCACCCCCACACACAAGCAAAACTCAAAAAATCATGCAAATCATTTCTGCTTAAGCCTTGGTGACTCCTCATAGCCTGACAATGACATCTATGTGGCCCCAGCAGGGGTGAAGGAGGAAGGCGCCAGGAAAGAAGGCTGGACAAAAAAGCCTTATCAGGCTGCAGCAGGCAGACCTGGTAGGGAGGACCCCAGGAAGGGCCCTGGCAGGACCCCAGCCTCTGCCTCCCATAGCTGCAGGCCCAGAAAGGCTGAGAGGCTCAGCATGCACGCCCTGCCAGCTGGTTCAGGGGCATCCCTCCCCCTGCTGGGACTTTCCTCAAAGATCATTCACGATCTCCCACCCAGTTCACCTACCAGGAGCCCTGGAAGCTCCCCACCACTCAGCTCCCAAGCCCAGCTCCAGGCCCTCAGGTCCTGTCCCTCAGCAAGCACAGAACTAAGGCCCAGGCCTCCTTGGACCCCAGTTCCCTGTCTGTACAGGAGCAGGGCCTTAGGGGGTCCCTGAAGCTCAAGCCCAGGGACCAAGGGCTTCCCCATTCCCCTCAGGTTTTGCTGCTCCTCCATAAGCCTCCTCCCCATCTACCTGACCCTGCCCTCCAGGACCCCCCAAGTCTAACCCCTGCCAACCCCTCCTCGCGGCTCGTCTCCACCACAGGCTTCCAAGAAAAGGGCCCACACCTCTCCCAACATCCTCCTCCCCACACAGTCTGGGCTCGGCCCAAGTCCTAGGGAGACCCAGACACGCAGGGAGTCCATGTGGTGGCCAGAGCTTAGCACACGTCTGGTCTGTGGAATTAACAGAATGACGGAGGGAGACTGGCCACTCCCCACTTGGCTGGGCCAGAGACACCTTTGTCTTCAAAGGCCTCCTCTGAGGCCGCCTGCATGGTCCTTGGTTCTGCCCCGGCTCACAGAGGAGTGGAGGGCTGGATGCTGCAGTGGCTGCCCACCCCAGAGCCACCCAGCCAAGAAAGGCCCTATCCCTGCAGTCTCCGCCCTCTCCTCTCTTTCCATAAACACCAGCTGCCCCGGGGCAGGAAAAGTCCTCCTTGGCAAAGACAGCAGCTGCCACCAGGCCCCAGAGAGTCAGGTGGGTGGAGACTGGGTGTTGCTTGACCGTGGCTGGACTGTCACGGCCAGGCTGGGAAGGCTGGGGCTGTAACCGGCAAGTCCGTGACCTCACAGTCCCACCGGCCATGTCTCCTGCCGGCTCTCCCGAGGAAGGGCGGGCACCCGAGCTTCCCGCTGCACCTATGAAGAACACACGGCCCAGAGAAGGCAGGAGACTCGCCCAGGCTCCGGTGCTGAGAAGCTACAGAACCAAAATTTAAATCCCCTTGTCTTCCTCCTGGAACTTCCCAGGCCTGGATTTGGGGGAAAGATGGGAAAGGGGTGTCATTTTGATCCACACCCGGGAATGACTACTGGTGAGGGAGGTTCCCAGTGACCTCGAAAATGCTGAATGAATGAAACCAGGACCCCTGAGGTCACCATCTCCTACCACAACCAGATCCCTGGGAACAATTCATACAGGAAGGCCTTCCACCGGTCTAACTTCAACCGTGCATGCTTCATGGCAGCCCACTCTGTGCTCAGTGGAGGATGCCTGAACTGAGACCTACCATCATTCTCGACGGTATAATAAATCATCAAGAAAGAGAGCAGGGGAGGTGCTGGCGCTGGATCTAACTCATCCTGAGTGCCCCACGCCTGGCACCGGCCAGGCACCAAGTAAGAAAGATGAATCAGAAAGTGGCTGCCATTGCTGACTGTGTGTCCTTGGGCAATTCCCTTCCACTCTCAGGGCCTTTCCTGGACAGGTATGTCCCACTGAGGGGACAGAGCAGGTGGCTCCAACGAGGCCTCCCCTCTGCCCTCCTGTCCCCCTCTAGGTGGAGCCAAGCTGTCCCTCTCCATTGCTGGCATCAGTGTGACTCCCTGCCCCTCCGCAGAGACCTCTACAGCTAGCTCTGGCCCTGAGCTCCAGGCCGAGAGGCAGGGATGATCAGCCACCCACACTGTTGGTGACACAGATCCAGAGGCTGAGAGCTAGTCCATGTTCTTGCAGATGACACCATCCAGGACCGTCTGGCTCCAGAGCCTTTCCAAGCATTTGGCCAAGGAAATGTCCTCCATCCCAAGAGTTGAGGCTTGGGGCTCAAGGCTGAGCGTGACTAGGGGACAGGCACGTCCGGGGAACACCAAGTGCTCCAGGATGCGGAGGCGGCAGGCAGCAAGAGGCGAGGCTGCACCCAAATCCCCTAAGAATAATATTTACAGAAGCTCCAGGGGCCTGGCAGCCAAAGAGCAAAATGAGCCCTGAGCAGCACCAGGCCTGGACCCCAGCCCCTGCACTAGCTGGCAGGGAGCTGAGGCCAGGCGCCAGCACACCAGGCCTTCCCAGCAGCACCCCGCAGCTGCAGGAGTCTGACTGGAGAGGAAGCCCCCTCCAGGCCCACAGCTACAGCTGGTGCTGGAGATAGGAGGCAGCAGGCGGCAGAGGGAGGCAGGCAGAGGGAGGCAGGCAGAGGGAGGCTTGGCAGGCTAGGTTCTTGCCCCGGGCACCAGGGTTAGCTGGCCTCAGTCCCCTCTGCCTGGCACAAAGCTCTGGTAGCCAGGCCATGCCCTCTCCCTACCTAGGCAGAGAGTGCCAAGCCAAAGCCAGGGGCTGGAGAGGGTGAACTTGAGCATCACCAATCTTCTGGCTCAGGCTTGGCCCAAGCTGGACTCCATCTCCTCCCCTGCAAGAGGCAGGAGCCTGCAGCCCTGTCTCTTCATCTCCCAGTCTCCTTTGATTCTCCTTGAGGGAAAAACACAGCCTTTGGCTTCCTGGGGCCTCAGTTTACTGGCAGACCGTCTGCCCCTACACCCCACTTGACTCATCATCCACTCTCTCCCCGATCGTTGCAGGAGCCTCCAGACCTGTCTGCAGACCCAGGGCTCACCTCCATCCCCCTCCCGCTCTTCTCTCCATGACCCTCAGCCACAGCCCTGCACATCCAGCCCCTGCCTCTTGTCCACTGCTCCTATTCTCCAGGCCCCTTTCCCTGCTCAGACCTTTGCTCCTCAGCTCAAATCGCTGCTTCCTACCAGAAAGACCCATGTAGAGCTGCTTCATCGGAAAGCCTCAGGCTCCCCACGTGCCACCTCCTTCAAGGCCCGGCTCAAATGTCACCACCTCCAACGGAAGGCTCCCTCAATTCCTCACACTGAGGGCAGCTGCTCCTCCCCTGGGCTCCAGCTCTGCACACCCCTGTGCTTCCCTCGTCCCTGGCTCCAATGCCTCTGCATGACAGTCTGTTTTGCCTCCTTTGTCAGACAGCAAGCTCCTCCTGGCTCTGTCTTCAGGCCCCAGCCAAAGACTGGCACAAAGCAATCCCTCAGGAATGAAAAAAGCAATTCCATTAAAACACCAATGATATAAAGGCAAGTGAAAAAGGCAAAGAAAAAGAAAAGAAATGGCTCAGAACACAGCTCACGCCCCAGCTCTGAGTTCACGCCCTACCTAGGCAGAGGGCACTAAGTCAAATCCAAGGCTGGGCACCTGAATCCCCTGGCTCAGCTTCGCCCTCCGTGCGGCACTCCATTTCCCCCTCAAGAGAGGCATGAACAACAGGGACAGGCAGGCAGGCCAGATCCTGGGTACCCAGGGGCCAGATGAGGCTGGATGGGGCCTCCAAGGAAATCCTGGGCTCATCTGACGACTGACAAAATAAGTCACTGAGGCAGTCTGGTCAGCTACAGCTGCGCTTCCAGCTCACTGTGGGGTCTGAGACACACAGGCTCCCCGGCTCTGGGCCTCGGTGATCTCCTCTGCAGAATGGGTCTAACACGTCTCCTATTGTGAGCACCAAAGAAGTAGACACACACAGCCAACCTTTGTAAACTGTGAAGTGCAAGCCACACGGGTCTTCCTCCTCCTCTTCCCACAACCAAGCTTTTGCTGAACACAAGCCTTCTCCTGGAGCATCTTCCATCCTCTTTTTCTTCCCCAAATGCTACCCATTGAAACCCTCTTCTCCACAAAGCCCGGTCGGGTTCGCAGCCCATGTAGATGCCTGTGGTTCCTCTCTGCTCTGAGGATCAGGTCCCTAAAGCCTCGTAACAGAAAGCTTGGACTCCCTTTCGCCTCTCCCATCCTCTCTTGGCCCCTTTTTAGAGATGAGAAATGGGGGCTCAGACAGGGATGGGCCCAGCTAGTTTGGTGGAAGGAGCAATGTCCTGGCTGCACATGTGCATGTGCACATGCATGCAGTAAGGCAGTGGATGGTCAGCTGGATAAGAAATGGATTTCTTCCCGGAACCTGGTACATGCTGGGAGAGGGGAGCTGCACAAGATACAACTTTTCTCATCAGACCTCAGCCCGTGAAACCCAAAGGGGCTCAGGGTAGTGCCTGTACAGAGTAGGAGAGTTTCGGTGGAAAGACTTTGCAAAGATCCTGGAATCAGACAAACCTAAGTTCCAATCCCCAGCCCACCATGTACTTAGTGAAGGCGGGGGGGTATCTGCACCTACTGAGCCTCAGTTTCCCCATTTGCTCCTTGGAGATCTCATAGGTAAAGATTAAGACCCAGAAAAAGTGGCCCTGTTCTGTCAGCGCATCTCTACCTCCTGTCTTCCTGCAAGGTCTGGTGTACCCTCAGCCTTCACCGGGGAGACTTCCCACTAGGGCCGGGCAACGGGATGGACCCCCAGAAAGTGAAGAGGCTGGAGAGGGAGCTCTGCCCAGCCGGCATGCCCCGGGGCCCTGCCGCTTCCTGTGCAAGGTCCCTACAGGAAACTGCGGGGCTGCCTGGGGCGGAGGTGGCCTGGAAATCTGGGGGCCCAGAGCAGGTGAGGAGGCGGGAGAGGAGCTGTCCCTGCTCCCCGCCGGCGCGAGATCCCGGGCTGCAGTTCGCCCCAAAAGAGTCCGTGGCCCCCTGGCCACGGCCACCCCTCTGGGGGTCTTCAGGGAGCCCCCCTACCACCACCAGACAGCCCCGTCCCCTCCCCCAGGCTCCTCTAGTAGAAAGGGAAGCAGAGCCCGCTGCAAAGGAGCGAGGGAGCCCCGAAAGTCTCAGGGACCCGAGGCTCCGCGCAGGCACGGAAGGGAGCGCCTACCGGGTGTGGGCGCCCCAAGGTCCGCGGGCAGGACCGCAGGTGGCGGCAACAGGAGCAGGAGCAGCGGGAACCGGAGCGAGAGACTCTCCCCTGCAGAGGAGAGAGGAACGCGGAGCTGAACTCGGCGTTCAAGGCTCCGGCCAAGAGGCCATGCGGATCCCGGGGCGCGCGGCGGGCACCGGGGTCGGACTCACTGCTCATGGCGCCGGGCAGAGCGGCTGATGGGTGTTGGACGCAGACTCCTGGCTCCTGGCTGTGGCTCTAACACTGCCCGGGCTCGGCCCGCCCCAACCCACGGCTCCACCCCCGCCCCTCCCTCCAGCTGTCACCTTAGCGGCCACCCGCTTTCTTCCTCTGCTCCCGCCCCAGCCGAGACCTTTGTATTAATTCGGCGATTGCTACCTAGGCTGCTTTCACCCGAGTCCCTTAAGGCACTTGACCTTAAAAGCCAGGTGGTGCCAAAAATGAGTCCATTCAGCAGCTAGGAAACTGAGGCTCCACGAAGATGCGTGAAACTGAGGACCCCCGGGGCTGGGATCAGAACTGAGGTCAGAACTGAGGCTGGAACGGCACACCCAGCCACACAGAGAAGAAGGGGGTCAGAGACAGCAGTCCAGCCTGGCCCGCAGGTGGTACCCTGCTGGGGAACTGACCGCTCTCAAAAAGGTCCAACAGGGAGGACTTTCTGCCTTCCCACCTCAGGGCTAGACTCTGCCAGGCAGGAAGAGCAAGGATTCCCAGCCAAGAGATGTGAGTTCAAATCCAGGCTTCACCCCCTGTGTCACCCAGGACAAGGTTCTCAATATTCTCATCCATAAAATGGGCATAATAACCAAACCTGCCCTGAGGAGGGGGGGTGTAAATTTCAGTGCAGCAGTATGCACGAATTTCCACGGCAGTAGGCGTTCAGTTAGCAGGAGACATTTTTCTTAAAGATCCCCTAACTCAGACTCCAGGGCTGGCCAGGTTCAATGTTCTAGCTGGAATGGAATCCACCTGCTGGCTATAGAGTTCCAGCACCTGGCTCCTCTTTTCACAGCTGGAGAAACTGAACCTAAAAGGGCCAAAGGATGGAGCCAAGAGTACAAGTCTACCGGTTCCCCCACCCAGAGGTTCTCTCCCTCAGTTTCCCTGGCACACCCAGCCCCACAACGAGGTCTTCCAGAGGGGCCCAAAGACCCCAGTGCCAGCTCCCAGGAGTCTCTGGGTATGGGGTGGGAACCATGAGCAGGGCTCACTGACTCACTGGCACTGGAGCTGGGGGAAGAGAGCTGTGGAAAACACACAGGTTTCTGGCTTGACCCTGCAAGTAATGAGCAGGGGTGGGGGTGGGGAGCCAGCTGGGCTTTGTGGGGTCCGGATCTGGCCCATCTCAGGGGAGAGTTCCTGCGCGTATGGGTATGCAAAAGAGGTCAAGGCCTGCCCTTGCCCCAGCCCTGGGAGAGGGGCCACATGCAAGGTCACCATGCCCTGCCCTTCTGCTCCAAAGCCAGTAGCCTGGGACTCAGAGAGTTAAATATTGCATGTTTTCTTATATGAGAAATCTAAAAATAATAACAATAAGTGAACAACTAAAATCAATGAGAGATGATGGGAAACTAGAAGGTGGACTTGCAGAGATAGGGAAGAGGATAGAAGAAGAGGGAGGAAAGGGAGAAGTAGGTAATAGGGCTGACAATAATAAAATATCACATGCATATACCAATGTACACAGTGGCCATGCTCTTCTGCATAGCTACTGTGCACCAGTAAAACAGTAATAAGTGAAAAGCTGAAGGCTTGGATATGCAGGGAGATTTGCTAGCCCTCAGAACGGCGAACTTCCACATGTCCACCCTGGGGTCCCCTGGAAACCTCCTCTGAGCTGCCTCCCTGCTTTCTCTCCTCCAGGCAGCCCCTGTGCCTTCCCCGGTCACAGTAGAGCTGGCTCCCCTTGTCCCTCTCTCCTCCTTATTGGGCTGTGAGTGTCTGGGTTACTCCAGTATCCCCAAAGCCAAGCACAGGATCCAGCAAATAGAAAGCATCAGTGATGCTGGTTGCTTGGATAAAGAAATGAGTAAGTGCCTATGAGAATAACTGAACACAAGAAGAAACAGACCTTCTATGAGTGAGAGAGGGTCCAGGAATAGCCTTTTTGAGGTGGCTGCCAACCCACCCATTCATTGTGGTGAACCCCAAAAGTGCAGGTGCCTGCCTCAGTTTCCCTGCTTTCCCTCACTGGGCCCATTGCCCAGCATGCCTGATACCTGCCCCACAGGTTCAGCTCCACTCTATGGCCTGAGCAGCTCCCAGCCAAGGCAGCAAGGACTCCCATACACACTCCTGACACAGGGTGAGGCTGTGTCTTCTCTGCCTCACTCACTTGCCCTCCTGCCCACCCTATCTAGGACCCAGATCGGAATGCCCGGGAAGAGGTCTCACCCCTGCAGAGCCCCATCCGCTGTTTGGAAATCCAGAGCTGACTCACCTGAGTCAGTCAAGGGCCCAGCCCCACCCAGCCCCACCTCTGCAAGCAAGTCCATGGCCAGACGGTAAAGCTCTGGAATGAGCCCAACATTTCTGCAAATCCCAGCCTCAAACCCTTGTCCCCAGCTCTTAATATGACCTGAAGCAGCCAGCTGACCTCTGTGGACCCCTATGAAACAGAGTTAATAATCCCACCCTTGCAAGCATTACTGAGGCAGTCTGTGTGAATCCTCAGCCTCAGTGGGAGCTCTGTGTTAGTTCATCACCACCATTCACTGCCATTCCCCACCTGAGCAGCAAAGTGTCTAAGTTCTCCTCTTCACTTTCCCAGTGCCAGAGCGGTGGATGCAGTAATAATAATGGCTAATATTTCTTGAGTATGTACTGTGCCCCCAACAGGGATATGTGTTTTACGTGCATTCTTACATTTGTCTTTCTCAACAGCCCTGTGAAGTCAGCATTGTCACTTCCATTTACAGAAAAAGCAACTGAGGCCCCAAGATGAAGTAGTTTGCTCAAGATTGGACCAAGGCCAGGTGTGCTGGTGCATGCCTGTAATCTCAGCATCCTCATGGGAGGCTGAGGCAGGAGGATGGCTACTTTGACACCAGTTTTGGCAATTTAGGGATTTTGTGAGACCTTGACTCAAAACAAAATAAAATTTAAGGGCCAGGGATTTATCTCAGTGGTTCTACTGCCTGTCTCGCAAGTGCAAGGTCCTGAGTTCAATCCCAGGTACAAAAAAAAAAAAATTTTTAAAGGCTGGGAATGGATCTCAGTGCAAAAGCCCTGGGTTCAATCCCCGCTACCAGGAAAAAAACAACAAAACTGTACTGCAAGAAAAGAAAAATCCCTGTTAGGGTGGTCCATTTAAATGAAATAGTCCAGTTGAGAACTGAGAGTAACAAAATGTTTTTACTTTTCTTTCTTATTGAGATCCTCACAACAGCTTCAAAAGGAAGCTATCAGGATCTCCACTATGCAAAAGGGGGTTCAAAGATTTTCCTAGATTACGGGGACAGATGGGGCCAGCTCTAGCCACTGCTGGGAGGCTTTCTAAGTGGCAGGCAGGGTGCTAAGTGCTTTCAGGGTATCAGGTCCTTTATAGTTATAAACAGCTACATGGGTAGATTTTCTTTTGGTCCCTATTTCTGTAAATAGGAAAAGTAACTGACTTGCTACAGGCCACAGGCTATACAGTTGGTAGCCGGGATTTGAGTCCTGCTCTGTTTGATTACATTACAGACCTAACTCCTTGCTACACCCTTGTCACTGGCTCTCTTGGATCCCCAACCCTGAATCTTTAAAACAAACATCCAAATCCTGGAGGGGATGGACCAAAAAAGAAAAAGATAAACATGCTGGAATTTGGTAAGCAGAGAGTCCCAAGCTCATCCGGGGAGTTTCCACTGTAGGGTCCCCGGTCCCACAGACCTCTCCCCTGGGTACTGGAGCCATCTGATTGGCACAGTGTGCCTGAGTGTCGTGCAGCTGGCGTCTTCCCCACCCTCACCATCAGGGTAATCTACAGAGCATCAGATAATCAATTCCTGGGATCGGGGGCCCAGTGGCCTGTGACCAAGGAGCCAGGGGAAAGAGGAACTGCCTGGGTGATGACTGTAAATCATTAGTCCCCTCCTTTCTTGCCTCCTCCTCCCCTTCCTCTATAGTTGAAGAAAGAGGTGGCCTCCTTTGACATACAAAATACCTTCCTAACTTTGCTTAGAACCTTCACTAGCTCCCCCTGTCCCTAGACCTTCGCCTGGATTTTAAGCCCCTGCCATTTGCTATTCTTGGAACAGAAACCCCTGAAATGATTGTGTGGCTGTCAAGAAGTGACGCTCCTTCTTGGGGCTCAGTTTCCCTTCTTGTTAAATTACCTGTTGAAGTGCTGAAGGTGAGGAGCAGGGATTTGGGAGTCAGGTTGACTTGAGTCAGGAGGCCAGCTTCCAAATTCTGCCAGTGTGACTTTGAGCAAGTCATTTGTCATCGCTGAGCCTTGGTTTCCTCATTGAAAGTGAGGACAGTAATAGTGTCTATTACCTGGGACTTAGCTCAATTCCTATCCCTCAGGAGGTGCTTGACAAATGATCATTACTGGTGGAATAATTACAATTGATAATTACGTAGTTAATCCAATTCTGTCATTATGGTCCTACAGGGGCTGGGGTGGGGGGCATTCTAGACACTTAGAAAGAATTTAAGAGAGAAGGGCTGCAGGAAGTGCTGGCTCAGTGTCTTAGGGGACTGCATGTAACAAAACCCCAGAACATGGAGATTTAAACCAAAGAAAGGAGGGGGGACTCTGAGTGAGCCAGGCATTTCCATCCTGCCATCTGGCTTCCGGGCTCTTCCCACCTTCCTGCTCAGCTTCCTTGGTCGGAGTGTGCTGCATCTTTGAGGGCCATGCCTCAGTCCCATCTTCCAAGCAGGAAAAGGTTGGAAGGGAACAGGCAGCCCCCACAGGCAGGCTACCAGGTACACATCTTTCTCCAGAACACAGTCCCGTGGCCTCAGCTGGCTGCCACGGAGGTTGGGAAATTGCATTTTTTGAATGGGCAGGCAAGGGACAGGCAGTCGGAAATGGAGACGGGGCCAGCCAGCCACCCCTGTCTGCCAGAGTCCAGGCAAGAGCCCCTTTCTGCTATAGGGTGGCTCTCTGGAGAACTCAGGAACAAGTAGATTCGGCATGCTCCAAGGTGAGCAGCCTTCGCCTGTCCAGAAAGTCACAGCCAGGGTTTCCCGAGAGATGACCCAGTCCAGCCCCAAGCAGGTGACAGACAGACTCCGAGTGCAGCTGGGTATCTTTTCCCTG